CAGGCCCTGAGGGTGGGGGACCGGAGGCGGAGGGGGGGCCGTGAGGTGGGAGGGAGACGCCGCCCAGGGTCCAGGGTCCGGGGCAGGAGGGGCCTCTGAGGGTGTCAGGGGGGAGAATGCAGGGGTGGCTCGCCGATCCGACAGGAGGGGGGCTCCCCGAAGCACGTGCCCTGCTCTCCCCCGTTTACACCAACTCCCAGGGCAGGCTTGGCACCATCTCCAGCAGTAGCCCCCCTCACCCCACAGCAGTGCTGGGAGGCAGGACGAGGCCTGGGTGGGTAATGACAGCCCCCCGACCCCTCCACTGTGCAGGCAACCAAGGGGGGGCGGGGTGCAGCTGCAGCCCCTTTCCCGGCCCCCGCCCCCCCATGGCTGAGGTCTGCCTCCCATTTCCCAGGCAACTGGTGGCTGGCGGGACAGCTGGGACCACTGCTGGCCCCGCTGGGCCGGAGGGCAGATGGGGCAGGTACACTTGGGGCTGTGGGGCCACGGAAGCTGCCGGCAGTAACCCCTGAGGGGCCCTCAGGTGTGATCTGGTCACTGGCCTCCCGTGCAGGGGTGGTGAGAGGGTGGGGTGAGCCTCAGGGCTCCACCCTGTTGTGGGCCTCCAGCCTCGCCACAGCAGAGCCACCCTCAGTACCCCTCCTGCAGGCCACGTCCCTGTGAAACCCCCTCTTAAGCCTGGGCCGCCTGGAAGGGTGAAGAGCCCTGCTTCCGCCAGGGGTCTCTTGGGCCTGGTGGAGGCCCCAGGCCTCGGAGGGGATAGAGTCTGTGGGGTGGGCTGTGGTGCGGGGGTGGTGGCCCTGGTAGGGTAAAGGTCACCCATATCCCCGCCGCCCAGAGCTGGGACAAAATGCATTCCCACCCGCGGCGTTCCCGGGCCCCTGGATGCTGCCCACAGCCGGCTGAACAGTGGGGAGAGCTGCCGGCTTCACAGGGACCCCTGGCACCCGAGCACCTGGCTGGGGGAGCAGGAGGTTCAGGTCTGTGGGCTGGGCAGGGGAGGGGAGTACTGTGGGACCCCCAGGCCTCCTGAGACTTGGGCTGAGCCCTGGCCCACAGCAATGGCCTGCAGACCCGGGTGGCAGGTGGGGAGCGGGCACTGCAGGTGGAGGTGAGGCTGCAGGAGCCTCTGAGCCTGCGGAAGGAGGCCGGGGGAGGCTGCAGGGGCATGGGTGGGGGGACTGCCCTCTCAGTCCCCAGGTGGGGGTTCATCCCAGTGGCCCGGAGTCTCAGGGAGGCCCTCGGCGCATGCCCCACTGCTGCTAACCAGAAGAGAGGCTCCTGGCTGAGCCGTGCGGGGGCGGGAGGGGAGGGGGCAGCCGGGGCTTGAGGGCTCTGCGGTGCCCGCCAGGGTGGGCGGGATGGGGGGCACAGGACTTGGTGGGCGTGTGTTCACAAGGCTTGGGCGAAGGGACTGTGGCCAGGGCAGATGGCCTGACGAGGGCCCTGGAGGCGGGCTAGGAGTGGGGTGGGTGCCCAGTGCCCGGGGAGGGCAGGGTGTGTGCCCAAGCCTGTTTGTCAGGGTGGTCCTGCCTCTTCCCGGCTGTGTTCCAGGCAGAGGTGGCACCTCTGGGGGCTGCTGGTCAGAGAGGCTCGGGAGCAGGGCCCCACGCCCAAGGCCACATGAGGCGGCTCTGGCCAGTGGAGCTGACGGTCAGTGAGGAGGGCTGTGACCTGAGGTCCGTGGGGCCCAAGCTTTGCAGGGGCCTCAGGGGCTGGGAGGATGGGGGCTGGCCACGGCGTCCTACAGGAGGAGAAGGCAACCCTAGGGAAGCTGGACAACTTGGGGGCTCCCGCCAGGCTGGGGCGCCGTCTGCCGGGGAGGAGGCCTGTCTGGAGGAGGCTTGCTGTGAAGAGATGCAGCTGGACAGGAAAGCCAGCTGCAGATTGACTGCAGAGGTTTCTGTGGCCATGTCCAGATGGGGTTCCCACCCGCCGAGCAGCCCCAAGTCCCTGTGACAAGCCTTCCCTGCTCTCCCAGTGGGGTCCTGGCCAGGGGCACAGGCAGGCCATCCCTGGGTGCGTCTGGCCAGCCAAGGACAGTGCCTCTGGGGACAGCACTGTCCAACCTCTGAACTGCATGGGGAGGGGCGGTGTACAGAGAGGCCCTAGCAATCTGGGCACAGCGTCCCTCTTCTGTCTAGCAGAGCTCCTGATGCAAACCACAGTGTTGCTATTTATGACTTCTGTGTATGCAGTTATTACAGAGAAAAAAACACATGTGGAGCAAAATATAAAGACATCTGGGCTTCCCCGGGGAGTGGGGGGATAGTGGTTAAAAAAAAAACCCACCTGCAGATACATGAGACATAAGAGGCAGGAGATGTGGGTTCAATCCCTGGGTCGGGAAGATCTCCTGGAGGAGGGCATGGCTACTCACTGCAGTATTCTTGCTTGGAGAATCCCATGGACAGAGGAGCCTGGCAGGCTGGAGTCCATGGGGTCACAAAGAATCGAACACAACCAAGGGACTTGGCAGTAGCTCTCATGTGTTAGTTGGGTGTCTCTCCTATGCTAACGCAACCTCACAGCCCAGCCCGGGCGTCTGGAGTGGGTTCCGCCCTGGCTCTGCCTTCCTCCCCCGCCAGATACTGAAGAGGGGAGAAGCTAGGGCTTGCCTGCGGTAGCTTCAGGTTTTCCTCCTGCCCTGGAATCCCAGAGCCCTTTCTTCACTTGCTCTACCTGACTGAGTTCTCAGACCGCGGACAGTCTCTCTTTGCACCGGCAGCCAGGACGCAGCTTCACTGGCCGGTGGCTTAAACAGAGAATCTCCCAGCTCTGGAGGCCAGGACCAGGGCAGAGCCTCAAGGCTGTGAGTGCGAGTCCGCTCCAGGCTCTGCTCCATTCCCAGAGTGTCTTGTCTTGTGTGTTCACATCACCTCTGTGTGTGCATGCGTGTGCGTGTATGTGTGTATGTAATACGTGTGTGTGTGCGCATATGTGTGTCCTAATCTGTGCTCCTACAGGGACCCTAGTCAGGGCTCATCCGACTCCAGCACACCTCATCTAACTAACCTCATCTGCAGTGTCGGTATTTCCAAGTATGGGGGGTCTCAGGATTAGGACTTCAATATATGAATTCAGGGGGACACAATGTGACCCATAATAGGGGTGACCCCTGCTGGCCTTTCCTTCCCCGTGCTGAGCACCGGGCACAGTGCTGCCACCTGGCCCAGCCCGTGTCATGACCCCTTGCTGATGAGGGGTCAGCGTCCGGCACAGGAGCGGGGCCCGGATGTGGCAGGTACCAGGGGGACGGGCCAGTGGGCATCTCAGAGGCCGGTAGGTCATGTGACTTCTCTGACAACAAGGCTCCCCATGGGAGCTGCACACTTCAGGGAGGTGCCAGAGGGGATCCGAGGCCAGCACTGTGGCCCTCACAGCGACCTTCCAGAGTAGACTGGGGTCAGTGCAGTGTGGGGACCCTTGAGTATCCTCAGACCCCCTCCATGATCCATGCCCTCTGACCTACAGCTGCTCTGGGCAGGGGTGGTGGCTGTGGGGCTGGGCACACCGCTCAAGAGGCTCCAGGTGCCGGGGACGGGACGGGATTGGGCCCGCGGCCACCTCCTTGGCCTCCCGACACTCCCACCCCACCCCACCTCAGTTCCCTGAGGCCCCTCCCTGCTGTGTTGGCAAGACTAGGTCTGGGGGCTATGGGGCTTAAACCCTGGACCACAGCTCCATGGAAGGCACTGGCTCTAAGGGGCTCTGATCAGAGGCAGCCCGAAGGCTTGGGGAGCAGGACAGGGACCTGGGCCTGCCCAAAGGAGGGTCCCGGGAAGATGTGAGCTGGGTGCCCCCACGGGGAGAGAAGCCAGAGGAACAAGGACCGGCGGGCGAGGCTTGGCGGGGTGACCACATGCAGCTGCCCCCACACTCTGCCCCTGGGGCACAGGAGGAGACCCAAGCCGGGCAGCCTCCCCTCCTGCCCACAGCGAGGAGCTGGCCCACTCCGGGCCTTCCTGGCCTGGCAGGAAAGTGGCCTGCGATGGTGGGCCCCAGGAAGGTCCGGCCACAGGCCAGCTTGGGCTCACTTCCCAGAGGACATCGTGGACAGGGTCCTGGAGTCCAGCGAGCAGGCCCGGATGTGAAGGCAGCTGGCCTGACACGTCTTTGAGGACGGGACTGGGAACAGGAGGACAGGCCACGGGGCTTTGCTCCACTCCATCCATCGGGGACCTCTGGGCAGCAAAGGGGAGAACCGGCCACAAGCTCCATGACTGGTTCCTGTCCTGGGAGTTATGCCCACCAGGTTCTGGGCCTCCATCCTTGGCACCTCCCGGAGCCCCTGCCCCAGGGGTGGGTGCTGGGACAGGGGGCACCTGCTCCAAGCCCAGGCTGGGGGCTGGACCCACAGGGCAAGGCCTGGCCATCCCTTCCGAACAGACTGGAAACCCGCTGGCCACACAGACCTCATCTCTTCCTTGGTCGAGGCGGGGAGGCCACTCAGTCACCGAGGCAGACCCCCTGGTGCCGTCGGGGTTCTCCGCAGCGGCGCAGGAGGCGGGCCCCAGGGCGGGGCGCAGGACCTGGCGCGCAGGAGGACGCGGACCGGAGGGCGCTGGCCGCATGGCCCGCCGCGGGCAACGAAGTCACATTTGTGAAGCGAAACCGCCCGCACGGCCGGCGGGGCCGCATTTCCCTTGCAAACGCCATGCAAAGGTCGTCTGGGCGGCGCACCCTGCTCGCTGCACCCGCAGCGTTCCTTCGCCGTGACTCCAGGGGAGGGGTCGAAAAGGGCTCCGCGGCAGTCGCCCCCTCCCCACCGAGGGTGCCCTCAGGCCGCGGCGGGCGGCGGCGCCCGTGGGGGCGTCGGCCAGCCCCGCGCGGGACTCCAGGCCCGCGTCACGCCCTAAGGACGCCCCCGCCGGAGGGCAGCCCCGCATGCCCCCAGCCTCCCCCAAACCAGGGCGGGGCCGCCGGGGGCGGGGCCTGCGCGGGTTTAAAGCAGGAGGCGCCCGGCGCGGGCACCGCGGCGAGCTGAGGGACTGCGATTGGAGCGCTGCGGCGCCGTCTGGGCAGGTGGGGCCGCACTCACACTCCTGGGGGGGTCTCGCCCCGGCCTGCAGGGGCTGGGGTGGGGGCGCGACGCACCCGGGGGTAGCCGGGAGTTCAGGGTCCGGGAGAGCAGGGCGCTGAGGCCCGGCTCCCTCCCAACTAGCCTTGGTGGGCGAAGGGCGGGGGGCGGGGTCCCGGGCGGGGTCCCGCCCGTCGGCCCCCAGCTCCCCGCCCCTGCGCAGGTGGGAACGCTGAGGTTCCCCGCCTGGGCGTGGGAGACGTGGCCTGCCGGGCAGGGGTCTCGCCTGCCCCGCGGTTTCCGGGCGGACGGTTGCGCGCCTGGGTGGGGCCCTGCAGGTCCGGTTCCTCCTGCCCGGCCCCTGCCTTGCAGGGCGGGGGGCGTTTGCTGCTGGAGCCAGTCCAAGGGCCCAGGGCGCTCGGCAGTCGGGTGGACAAACTGACAGGGTGGACGGGCTTCTGGCCCGGTGCTGGGTCAGGGAAGCCAGCACTTACCCTTGGAGGGAGCTCCCTGCCGTTGGCGAGGGTGGCCACAGGGACCCCTGCGTGGCGCCAGCCCCAGGCCCTCTGGAGGCGGGGGCGGGAGGGGCTGTGCGGCAGCCTCCCGCCTCCCAGCCAGGCTTCTGTCTGGCCCCTGATCTCTGCTCCCTGTACCCAGCACTCTGCTGCCTGGTGCGGGCCAAAGGCCAAGGTCACTGCCTCCCTGTGCCAGCCCAGGGCACCTGGCCATTTGGTTCTCTTCTTATTAGGTTCTGGAGAAGGAAGTGGCAACCCACTCCAGTACTCTTGCCTGGAGAATCCCATGGACAGAGGAGCCTGGTGGGCTACAGTCCATGGGGTCACAAAAGAGTCAGACGTGACTGAGCAACTAAACCTTACCAGGTTCAGGAGGACAGCCAGCGAGCCCATCTGTGACCCCAGCCCAGACTGGTGTTCTGCCCTGGGGGGAGGGCGCTGCCCCACTCTCCTCAGGAATTGTCCTCCTACTTCTTGTCCCCTGGGGTCCCCTGAAGGGGGCCTGCACCCAGGAAGCCCCAGAAGGGGTCCCTCTCTCAGATTCCTGCTCCAGTGCTGGGACTCTGTCGGCCCCTCACCCAGCTGCAAGAACACCTACGCCTTCTGCCACCACTTCCCAGGACACCTGAGACTGGTCTGCCCAGGTCCCCCACTCCCGAGGCCCCGGACACGCCTCATGCACCCAGATCTGTCTCTCTTGAGCTCCGGACCCCTCTGTCTAGCTGCTTCCACGAGGTCCCCACTTCAGACTCCAGGCCCCCACTCCCAGGCCACTCCTCACGTCCTGCCTGATATGGGGTCCGGGGGCTCAAACCAGCCCCAAGGTCACTGATGGCCAAGCAGGCCTCGGCCCAGCTGCAGTTATCCGGCCGCCCCTGACTGGCCCCATGGCCAGTAGGCCACAGCCCTCTCCCTCTCAGAGCCGCCTCTGTGCTCTGAGGTCCTCTTGCTCCTCTGGGCCTCCTTTCTGGCCGCTCCCCGACAGCACCGCCCACAGGGCCCACCCGGTGGCCGCTGACCCTGTGGCCCAGAAACCCTCCCTGGTTTGCCAGTGGTGAGGTGCCCCCTTCCCTCCCACCCTGGTCCCTGCCGGACAGCAGCTGACAGGCATGGCTCTGGCTGCCTGTGGCCCTGTTTCCCGGGCCCCTCTGGCTAGCCCACACTGTCTGAAGCCAGCCCCGGAGCAAGACACATGGTATGGGGGGAGCGGGCTGGACCCTGGGCGGGCGGGCAGCAGGGATCCCGGCAGCGAGTGGCAGGCTCAGGGATCGGCCTTGGGGGCCTCCTGGGGTGGAAGGCAAGGAGGCTGGGGACAGGGGGACAGGCTGGCCCAGGGTGCTGGAAGGAGATGAGGGCACTGCGGTCACACCAGGTCCTGAACCCCACTGCCCAGGCGCCATACTCCTCGTCCTGGGGAGCCGTGTAGGAGACGGAGGACCGATCCCGGCCCCTGCTGCCACTGTGGGTCGGGCCAGGGGCGTGGGGCCCACGGTCTCCTCTCGGTGACCCAGTCCTGCTCCCCTCGCCCGCCCTCACCCTTGGCCCTGAGTCTCTTCTCTCTGGCTGCAGCCTTTGCTGCCGGACGGGCCGGGAGGAGCCCCCTGCAGCACTGGGGCCCATCCCCACCTTACAGTCCCTCCTCCCGTGGCGAGGTCCGCTCCCCGGCTGGGAGGGTCACCCTTCTTGCACATCTCTGGTTCCTGGGCCTGCGTGGCACCCCACCTGTGAGCTGGGGCAGCTCGGAGCCTTCAGAGCCCCTCACCATGGAGCCCCCTCAGCCAGCCCTGCCTGTGGAGACCCAGGCCTCTCCCAGTCACTCAAAGCCTTTAGTAACCTTTCCCAAAGCCTGGATCTTAACCACCCTCCTCTCCCCTCACTGGATGCCTTTGTCCCATCTTCTCAAGGGCCTGATACTATGCCCCGAGCACCTGCCCTCTGTGGCCTGCTCACCTTGGGAGAGCTGGACCGCGGCAGTGCTTCTTGGACACTGGCCAGTGGCAGCGGCCGAGGGAGCAAAGATCCAGGCCAGGCCTCCATGTCTGCCCAGTCTCGGCATGAACTCAGACTCAGGGCAGCAGACCAGCTGCTGTGCCACTGGGCGCTGGGTCCCACATCTAGGTGGGGAAGGAGGGAACAGGCTTTTGCCCTGGGGTGGGCCCAGCTGTGGGGCGTGAGGGGCTGAGCAGAGCTTAGGGTGCAAGCTCTGCAGGGCTGGGGTGGGGGAGCTGCTCCCAGGCAGTGGCTCTGGGGCACCGCAGAGCTTGAGCCTCCTTTGAGTCCACTAGGCACAGTGTTTAGGAGGTGCTGGAGGGTCTGGGCTTCGGCTGTGGTCAGGGTGAATGGGGAAATGTCACCAGAGAGGAGGGGCCCCATGCCCGGTGACCCAGAGGTCAGGTAGGTTGAATCTGAAATGCATCTGTTCGGTGTGGTGGCTGGAGCTGAGGTCACCTGAGTGAGCTCACCTGCAGAGTGGGCCAGGGTGTGAGGGGCTCTGGGCAGTTGGTCAGGAGGTGAGGATGGGTGTAACCGGGCCCAGGACTGAGGGTGTGGTTCTTTGGAACGTGGGTGTGGACTGGCCCCCGGGCGTCTGGGCGGCTTCGAAGCACAGAATTACTCTCCCACAGTCAGGGTGCCAGGGTCTGGGATCTGCACGTCAGCATTTGCTGTTTCTGGGGCCTGAAGCTGCGTGTCCCATCTCCCTCCCTCACGGGGCATCCTCCCCACATTTGTCTCCCATGAGGACACTGTCATGTTGGGATAAGGCCTCCCTGCACCAGTGTGACTGTACCCTAACCTATAACGTCATCACATCTGCAAAGATCCTGTTTCTAAATAAGGTCACAGTTGCAGGTGCTGGGGGCTAGGTCTTGGTTAGGTCTTAGACGTGCCTGCTGGGGAGAGGTGACCGGCCAAGGGGTGGAGGAGGGAGGTGTATGGTTGTGGTGGAGCAGAAGGGTCAGCACTGGTCACCGCCGCTCAGGGGACCGGGGCCACAGATGTTGGCTGAGGGGGACGGCCATGGAGGTGCAGGGTGCTGAGCAGCAACCAGGGACCAGCAGGGCCGGGAGACCCGAGCCTGGCCCCACCCGTGGCACCAGCACCCCAGCGTGAGCTCTGGGTCCTCCTGGGCTGCCGAGGCCAGGCGTGGGCACAGAGTGGCCATGGGCCAGGGGACGCTGGCAGGCTGAGGCGGGATACCCGGGCAGGTCAGAGGATGGGGATCTGGCTGGGAAGCCCAGTGGGGAGCCAGGAGGAAGCAGAGGCCTGAGCAGCAGGGGGTCAAGTTGGGGAGACTGGAGGGATCGCTGGGCAGGGAGCGGGGAAGAGCACCGGCAGGAATCTGCTCAAGGGGTGATGGGGCAGGGGCGGGCCCTGAAGGAGACGGGAGGAGTCTGGAGGCCAAGGGGGCCGGGAGGCCAAGCCCCTGCACTGGGACACCCAGAGGAGTGGGACGAGGGTGTGGCCAGAAGATGGCCTGTAGGACAAGGCGGATCCCGCGACACCCGCAGGCTGTGCTGGGGTCCCAGTGCTCCTGTGGCCCCACCTGGGACCCAAGGGTGAGAGGAGGGGCTGAAGTTGGAGGCTGCCCTTCCTTCCTCAGGAGGGCTGGTGGCACTAGAGGTGGGTCCAGGGTGCGGGGTGGACCTCCCACCTGCCTGGGCCTTTGCAGGGCCCCTAACAGAAGCTTTCCACCCCGCAGGGAGCAGAAGTGGTCCTCGCTGAGTTCTGCAAGATGAACGGCCACGCCTCTCCTCCTCGTGACCTCCAAGTCATCGGTGGCACCAGGCCGGCTGCTGTCTCTAAGACCGTGAAAGCCGTGCTGGGAGCTGGCACCCCATCTGTGCCCCAGGCCAGGAGCATCGCCGGGGTGTGGGTGGAGGCATCGGGCCGGGCCCAGGGTCTCTATGCTGCCATGAAGCAGGGTCTCCTGCCCTCCGGGCTTGGGCTGGCTCTGCTGGAGGCCCAGGCAGCCACAGGGGGCCTGGTGGACCCCACGCAGGGCCAGCTGCTCCCCGTGTCTGAGGCCCTGCAGCAGGGCCTGGTGGGCTTGGAGCTCAAGGAGAAGCTACTGGCTGCCGAGCGTGCGGCCACTGGGTACCCTGATCCCTATGGGGGCGAGAAGCTGGCCCTCTTCCAGGCCATTAGGAAGGAGGTGGTAGACAAGGCGCTGGGGTGGAACTGGCTGGAGGCCCAGCTGGCCACTGGGGGACTGGTGGACCCCATCCGGGGGGTGCGTGTGGCCCCCGAGCTGGCCTGCCAGCAGGGCCTCCTGGACCAGGAGACGTGGCATGGGCTGTCGGAGCTGGGGCCTGGCTCAAGCGCCCTGGGCTTCCTGGACCCCAACACACTGGAGCAGCTGCTCTACCGGGAGTTGCTGGGCAGGTGTGTGCAGGCGCCCAGCACAGGGCTGGCCCTACTGCCCCTCAAGGTCACGTTCCATACCCTGGGTGGGGCTGTGAGCTTGGCTGAGCTGCTGGAGGTGGGGATCTTGGACGAGGAGACAGCCCAAGGCCTGCGGGAGGGCCGGCTGGCGGTGCCAGATGTGGGTGCCCGTGCTGAGGTGCAGCGTTACCTGCAGGGCACTGGTGGTGTGGCTGGGGTTGTCCTGCTGCCTGCAGGGCACAAGAAGAGCTTCTTCCAGGCTGTGGCCGAGCACCTGCTTCCCACAGGTGCTGTGCTTCTGCTCCTGGAGGCTCAGGCTGCCACCTGCACGCTGGTGGACCCAGCCACTGGCCGGCAGCTGCGGGTGGATGAGGCGGTTCGGGCAGGCCTGGTCACCCCTGAGCTCCACAGGCAGCTCCAGGTGGCAGAGAAGGCAGTGACGGGCTACCACGACCCCTTCAGTGGCACCCGCGTTCCCCTTTTCCAGGCCATGAAGAAGGAGTTGGTGGACCAGCCTCTGGCACTCAGGCTCCTGGAAGCCCAGCTGGCCACGGGCGGGCTAGTGTGTCCTGCCCGCCGGCTCCGGCTGCCCATGGAGGCTGCCCTGCGCCTCGGCTGCCTGGATGAAGAGACTCAGCAGCACCTCTTGAGGGCTGCTGGCTTCTTGGATCCCAGCACGCATGAGAGCCTCAGCTATGGGCAGCTGCTGGCCCGCTGCGTCACTGACCTGGAGACGGGACTGGCGTTCCTGCCCATCTCAGCGGGGAGCCCTGGGGAGGAGTCCCAGGGGCCCCTGTTCATTGAGCACAGCACCCGGCAGGTCTTGAGTGCTGTCACGGCCACCGTCTCTGTAGGCAGGTTCCAGGGCCGGCCCACGTCGCTCTGGGAGCTGCTCTTCTCCGAGGTGGTACCTGTGGAGCAGAGGGTGACGCTGACCCAGCAGCACAAGCACGGGGCCCTCTCAGTGGAGGAGCTGGCGGCTGCGCTGAGGGCCACCCATGAGCAGGCTGCAGCCACTGCCAGAACCACCTTTGCTGGGCTCAGGGTCCCCGTGACTCCGGGAGAGCTGCTGAGAGCGGAGATCATTGGCCAGGATGTTTATGAGCAGCTGGAACATGGCCAGACCACGGCCCAGGACGTGGCCAGCCTGGACTCAGTGCAGAGGTACTTGCAAGGCACTGGCTGCATTGCTGGCTTGCTGCTGCCTGGGTCCCAGGAGCCCCTCAGCATCCACGAGGCTTACAGGAAGGGGCTTCTCAGGCCGGGCACGGCACTCATCCTCCTAGAGGCACAGGCAGCCACTGGCTTCATCGTTGATCCCAAAGAAAACAGGAGATACTCGGTGGAGGAGGCGCTGAGGGCTGGTGTCATCGGGCCTGAGATGTTTGCCAAGCTGCTGTCGGCCGAGCGCGCGGTCACCGGCTACACCGACCCCTACACCGGGCAGCAGATCTCCCTCTTCCAGGCCATGAAGAAGGACCTCATCGTGCGCGAGCACGGCATCCGCCTGCTGGAGGCCCAGATCGCCACGGGCGGCGTCATCGACCCCGTGCACAGCCACCGCGTGCCCGTGGACGTGGCCTACCAGCGCGGCTACTTCGACGAGGAGATGAACCGCATCCTGCAGGACCCCAGCGACGACACCAAGGGCTTCTTCGACCCCAACACGCACGAGAACCTCACGTACATGCAGCTGCTGGAGCGCTGCGTGCATGACCCCAACACGGGGCTCTATCTGTTGCCACTTAAAAGCGCACAGACCCTGCTGGCAGATGAGGCCACCCGGCAGGCCTTCCAGAGCCTGCTGCTGTTGGTGCAGCACGGGCGGTTCCGGGGACGGAGGGTGTCCGCTTGGGAGTTGGTCAACTCGGAGTACATCAGCGAGGCACGCCGGCGGTGGCTGCTGCAGAGCTTCCGACGGCACCAGGTGTCCCTGGAGGAGGTCTCGAAGCTGCTGGAGAGGGAGGTGGAGAGCCAGGCAGATGTCGCCCTCCCCACACTGCGGGGCCGGGTGACTGCCTGCCAGCTCCGGGAGGCTGGTGTCATCGACCAGGAGGTCCTGGGCCGCGTGCTGGCGGGGACGCTCAGCCCTGAGGCCCTGCTCTGCACAGAGAGCATCAGCAAGTTCCTGTGCGGCTCAGGTGCTGTGGGTGGCGTGCTCCTGCAGCCCTCTACCCGGCGGCTCGGCCTCTACCAGGCCATGAAGCAGAAGCTGCTGGGGCCAGGAGTGGCCCTGGCCCTGCTGGAGGCCCAGGCAGCCACGGGGGGCGTGACCGACCCCCACGGTCCGGAGCCCATGTCCTCGGATGAGGCTGTGCGCCGGGGGCTTGTGGGGCCGGAGCTCTACAGCAGGCTGGCCTGGGCTGAGTGCGCTGTCACTGGCTTCCCGGACCCCTTCTCTGGAAAGCTGCTGTCCCTATTCCAGGCCATGAAGAAGGGCCTTGTCCCTGCGGAGCAGGCCATCCGCCTCCTGGAGGCCCAGGTGGCCACGGGCGGGGTCATTGACCCCACCAGCCACCACCACCTCCCCATGCTCGTGGCCTTGCAGCGTGGCTACATTGACCAGGAGGTGATGTTGGCCTTGTCCGACTCCAAGACCTTCCCCACGCATGACGGCAGGGGACACACCAGCTATGCCCAGCTTCTGGAGCAGTGTGTAAGGGACGAGGCCTCTGGCCTTCACTTTTTGCCCCTGCCGGAAAGTGCCCCTATGGTTCCCACGGATGAGCAGGTGCGGAAGACCCTGAAGGCCATGCCTGGGGCTGAAGACGGCACGTCCCTCTGGGAGCTGCTGGAGTCCTGCCACTTCACTGAGGAGCAGCGGAGGGGCTTCCTGGAGGACTTTAGGGAGGGGAGGACCACGACACAGCAGCTGCAGGCGGCCGTGCAGAGGCAGGTGCAGGAGGCAGAGCTCCTGGCGAGGGCCCATGTCACGCTGCCTGGCCCCCGTGGCGGGGTGCCTGCCGTCTGGCTGCTGGACGCCGGCATCATCACTCGGGAGACCCTGGAGGCACTGGCACAGGGCATGCAGTCACCTGCTGAGGTCGCTGAGCAGCCGACGGTGCGGGCCTGCCTCTGGGGCACGGGCTGTGTGGCTGGGGTGCTGCTGCAGCCCTCAGGGGCCAAGGTGAGCATCTCCCAGGCTGTGAGGGATGGCCTCCTGCCCGCCGGCCTGGGGCAGAGACTACTGGAGGCCCAGGTGGTGTCTGGCTCTCTTGTGGATCCTTTGACCAACCAGAGACTATCGGTGGAGGAGGCGGTCAAGGCTGGCCTGGTGGCTGGGGCATTGAGTGAGCAGCTCCAGCAGGTTGAGAAGGCAGTGACTGGGTACATGGACCCCTGCTCGGGAGGCTCCCTCTCACTGTGGCAGGCAGTGGAGAAAGGGCTCGTGCCTCGGAGCGAGGGCCTCCCACTCCTGCAGGCGCAGCTGGCCACAGGGGGTGTGGTGGACCCCGTCCACGGGGTGCACCTGCCCCAGGTGGCAGCCTGCAGGCTCGGCCTCCTGGATGAGCAGACAAGCAGTATGCTGACCTCAACGGATGAGGACAGCAAGTTCTTCTTCGACCCAGGCACACGGGACAAGGTGACCTACGGACAGCTCAAGGAGCACTGTGTCCTAGATGCCGACACTGGCTTGTGGCTGCTGCCACTCCCCCAGGACATGGCGCTAGAGGTAGATGACCACACAGCAGTGGCCCTGAGGGCCATGAAGGTGCCGGTTGGGGCAGGGAGGTTCAGAGGGCTCAGCATCTCACTCTGGGACCTGCTGCATTCAGAGTATGTAGGGCTCCAAAAGCGGCGGGAGCTGGCAGCACTCTGCCAGTCTGGGAGGGCCACAGCCCTGCGGCAGGTGGTCACTGCAGTCACCACCCTAGTTGAGGCCTCAGAGAGGCAGCCCTCACAGGCCACCTTCAGGGGTCTCCGGAAGCAGCTGTCGGCCAACGACCTGTTCAGGTCCCAGCTGATCGACAAGAAGACGCTAGATGAGCTGAGTCAAGGGAAGAGGACCGTGCAGGAGGTGGCAGAGATGGACCACGTGCGGCGGTACTTGGAAGGGGGCAGCTTCATTGCCGGGGTCCTCATCCAGGACACCAAGGAGAAGATGAGCATCTCAGAGGCTCTGAGAAGAAACGTCCTGCGGCCAGGCACGGCTCTGGTGCTGCTGGAGGCACAGGCGGCCACTGGCTTCCTCATTGACCCTGTGGAGAACTGCAAGCTGACTGTGCAGGAGGCATTCGCAGCCGGGATGTTTGGCAGGGAAACCTACCAGAAGCTGTTGTCGGCCGAGCGTGCTGTCACGGGCTACACCGACCCCTACACCGGGCAGCAGATCTCCCTCTTCCAGGCCATGAAGAAGGACCTCATCGTGCGCGAGCATGGCATCCGCCTGCTAGAGGCCCAGATTGCCACGGGCGGCATCATCGACCCTGTGCACAGCCACCGCGTGCCCGTGGACGTGGCCTACCAGCGCGGCTACTTCGACGAGGAGATGAACCGCGTGCTGGAGGACCCCAGCGACGACACCAAGGGCTTCTTCGACCCCAACACGCACGAGAACCTCACATACATGCAGCTGCTGGAGCGCTGTGTGAAGGACCCTGAGACAGGGCTCTACATGCTGCAAATCGTAAAGAAAGGAGAAACCTATGTGTACATTGATGAAGCCACAAGGCAAGCCCTGCAGTCAAAAACTACTGAAATGCTCGTGGGCATGTTTGCCCAGCAGGTGGTCTCCTTCTGGGACCTGCTGTCCTCACCGTACTTCACAGAGGAAAGGAAGAAAGAGCTTGTCCAGGGGTACAAAGCTGGGAACGTCAGCTTAGAGCAGCTGCTGAAGGTCATCACCACGACGGTCGAAGAAACAGAACAGCAAAACAAGGGCATCAGGCTGGCAGCCATTGGAGGAGAGGTGACGGCTGCAGAGCTGTTTAATTCAGGGATCATCGATAAGAAGACCCTGGACGCGCTGCACAATGAGGGAGCGGAGGGAAAGGATCTCGGCTGCCTGCCGCACGTGAAGGTCTACCTGGAAGGCAGCGGCTGCATCGCAGGGCTGACCACGCCCTCCACCCACGAGGTGCTGAGCTTCTATGAGGCCAGCAGGAAAGGGCGTATCCCCGCGGGATTTGCAGCCCACCTGCTGGAGGCTCAGGCAGCCACGGGATTCCTGCTGGACCCCCACAGCCACCAGAGGCTCTCCGTGGATGACGCTGTGGCCGCCGGCCTGGTGGGTGTGGAACTGCAGGAGAGGCTCCTAAATGCTGAGAAAGCCGCCATGGGATACACAGACCCAGGCACAGGACACACCTTGTCCTTGTTCCAGGCAATGCAGAGGAAGCTGGTGAAACGGGAGTTGGCACTCAGACTGCTTGAGGTGCAGGTGGCCACGGGGGGCGTCATGGACCCGCAGCACCACCACCGGCTTCCACTGGACACTGCCTACAAACGCGGCTGTCTGGACCAGGACACGTACCCACTGGTGGCAGAGCAGAAGTGTATGAATAAACGGTTTGTGGATCCCAACACTCAGGAGAAGGTGACATACCAGGAACTGCAGGAGAGGAGCCACCGAGATGAGAAGACCGGCTGGGCTCTGTTCCCAGTGCTCAAGGATGAACAGGAATCCCAGTTTATCGATGAGACCACTAGACGAGCGCTTGAGGCTGAACGGGTGGAAGTCATAGTGGGGCGGTTTAAAGGCCAGAGGCCATCAGTCTGGGAATTGCTGAATTCTGAATACGTGACAGAGGAAAAAAAACTAGAGTTAGTACGAAAATACAAGCAGGACACAGCACATGCATTAGAAAAGGTGGTAAAGGTGATCTTTGAGATAATCAGTGAGAAAGAAAAGAACAATAAGCCGCTATGGTTCAGAGGAATCAGGAAACAGATCACGGCTTCTGAGCTGCTGACTTCATCCATCATAAGCAGGGAGACGCTGCAAGCCTTGGAGGCCGGGCAGGCCTCTGTGGATGCTGTCACAAAGAACGAGGTGGTGAGGCGCTACCTGGAGGGCACCGGGTGCATCGCGGGCGTGCTGGTCCCCGCCAAGGACGAGCCCGGGCGCCAGGAGAAGATGAGCATCTACCAGGCCATGTGGAAGGGCGTCCTGCGGCCGGGCACGGCCCTGGTGCTGCTGGAGGCGCAGGCGGCCACGGGCTTCGTCATCGACCCCGTGCGCAACCAGAAGCTGTCCGTGGAGGAGGCGGTGGCCGCGGGCGTGGTGGGCGGCGAGCTCCAGGAGAAGCTGCTGTCGGCCGAGCGCGCGGTCACCGGCTACACCGACCCCTACACCGGGCAGCAGATCTCCCTCTTCCAGGCCATGAAGAAGGACCTCATCGTGCGCGAGCACGGCATCCGCCTGCTGGAGGCCCAGATCGCCACGGGCGGCGTCATCGACCCCGTGCACAGCCACCGCGTGCCCGTGGACGTGGCCTACCAGCGCGGCTACTTCGACGAGGAGATGAACCGCGTGCTGGAGGACCCCAGCGACGACACCAAGGGCTTCTTCGACCCCAACACGCACGAGAACCTCACGTACATGCAGCTGCTCCAGAGGGCTACTCCGGATCCTGAAACAGGGCTCTTATTTCTTTCTCTCACTGGAAAATGATCGTTCATTCGTGTTGAATAAAATTTTGTCTTCTGTTAAGAATACATAAGAATGTTTTTGAAAATTTTTTCTTGATATATCTGTTTAGTTTATTTTACTTCCATGTTAATTACCTTCATGTCTTTTCCCTAGTTTTTATTGTAATTGCTTATTTTTGTCTGTTTCCATTAAAGTTATGACCTTAATGTTCTTTTTTTCTGTTCAGTTTTGAATTACAGTTCTTTGAAATTTGTCCTGTGATACCTCTAGAATCTCCCTTATTTTGAGTCAAGGGTCTCTCCTTTTTACGTATACCCATCATAGTAGAGAGGGCTTCCCTGGTGGCTCAGGTGTTAAAAGCTTCTGCGTGCAATGTGGGAGACCCAGGTTCAATCCCTGGATTGAATATCCCCTTGAGAATGAAATGGTAACCCACTGTGGTACTCTTGCCTGGAAAATGACATGGTTGGGGAAGCCTGGCAGGCTATAGACCTTGAGCAACGAGCTGGATACGACTGAGTGACTTTACTTTCACTTTTTACTACAGCAGATGCTATGCATGATTGGTTACAATCCCATTTCATCTAAATGGACTTCTTCATATTGATTTAGTTTCTGGTTTGACTAAACCATTTTCTGTCAATTTCTTGCTTTCGTAAATGCTCGTGGCTCTCATTTTGCTGTCCTCCTACCCTGGTTTTCTATGCTAGTGCTGTGCTTTGCAGAGGCTGGGCTCATTCTGTCACTGGATGCTGCTCTCCCTGTTAGTCTGACCCCCTGTGTGTTCCCATCAGATTTGTTTGGTGGTATGGCCTTTACAGTGATCAGTTATCACTTCCTTCCTCAGTGATCAGTGCAAAAAATAGAGGAAAACAATAGAATGGGAAAGACTAGAGATTTCAAGAAAATTAGAGCTACCAAGGGAACATTTCATGCGAAGATGGGCTCAATAAAGGACAGAAAGGGTATGGACCTAACAGAAGCAGAATATATTAAGAAGAGGTGGTAAGAATACACACAAGTGTACAAGAAAGTTCTTCATGACCCAGATAATCATGATGGTGTGACCCCTCACCTAGAACCGGACATTCTGGAATGTGAAGTCAAGTAGGCCTTAGAAAGCATCACTGCGAACAAAGCTAGTGGAGGTGATAGAATTCCAGCCGAGCTATTTCAAATCCTGAAAGATGATGCTGTGAAAGTGCTGCACTCAATATACCAGCAAATTTGGAAAACTCAGCAGTGGCCACAGGACTGGAAAAGGTCAGTTTTCATTCCAATCCCAAAGAAAGGTAATGCCAAAGAATGCTCAAACTACCGCACAATTGCACTCATCTCACATGTTAGTAAAGTAATGCTCAAAATTCTCCAAGCCAGTCTTCAGCAATACGTGAACCATGATTTCCAGATGTTCAGTCTGGTTTTAGAAAAGGCAGAGGAACCAGAGATCAAATTGCCAACATCTGCTGGATCACTGAAAAAGCAAGAGAGTTCCAGAAAAAACATATATTTCTGCTTAATGACTATGCCAAAGCCTTCAACTGTGTGGATCACAATAAACTGTGGAAAATTCTTCGAGAAGTGGGAATACCAGACCACCTGACATGCCTCTTGAGAAAACTGTATGCAGGTCAGGAAGCAACCGTTACAACTGGACATGGAACAACAGACTGGTTCCAAATAGGAAAAGGAGTATGTCAAGACTGTATATATTGTCACCCTGCTTATTTAGTTTATATGTAGAGTAGTACATCATGAGAAATGCTGGGCTGGATGAGGCACAAGCTGGAATCAAGATTGCCGGGAGAAATATCAATAACCTCAGATATGCAGATGACACCACCCTTATGGCAGAAAGTGAAGAAGAACTAAAGAGCCTTTTGATGAAAGTGAAAGAGGAGAGTGAAAAAGTTGGCTTAAAGCTCAGTATTCAAAAAATTAAGAACATGGCATACAATCACATCACTTCATGGCCAATAGATGTGGAAACGGTGGCTGACTTTATTTTTTAGGGCTCCAAAATCACTGCAGATGGTGACTGCAGTCATGAAATTGAAAGATGCTTACTCCTTGGAAGGCAAGTTATGACCAACCTAGACAGCATATTAAAAAGCAGAGACATTGTCAACATAGGTCCATCTTGTCAAGGCTATGGTTTTCCAATAGTCATGTGTGGATGTGAGAGTTGGACTATAAAGAAAGCTGAGCACTGAAGAATTGATGCTTTTGAACTGTGGTGTTGGAGAAGACTCTTGAGAGTCCCTTGGACTGCAAGGAGATCAAACCAGTATATCCTAAAGGAGATCAGTCCTGAGTGTTCATTGGAAGTCCTGATGTTGAAGCTCAAGCTCTAATACTTTGCCTACCTGATGTGAAGAGCTGACTCAGTTGAAAAGACCCTGATGCTGGGAAAGATTGAAGGCAGGAGAAGAAGGGGACAACAGAGGATGAGATGGATTGATGGCATCACTGACTCAATGGACATGAGTATACTCTAGTAGTTCGTGATGGACAGGGAGGCTTGCCATGCTGCAGTTCATGCGGTCTCAAAGAGTCGGACACAACTGAGCGACTAAACTGAACTGAACTGATGGCCTTTACAACGGCTTCCCTGGTTGCTCAGTGGTAAAGAATCTACCTACCAATGCAGAAGTTGCAGGTTCAGGCTCTGGGGTTGGAAGATTCCCTGTAGGAGCAACTGGCAACCCCTTACAGTATTCTTACCTGGAGAATTCCATGGACAGAAGCCTCATAGGCGACAGTCTTTAGGGCCACTGAGTCGAACATGACTGAACATGCATGTACCCCACTCCACTCCATGGCTTTTACAGTTTACAAGGAATTGTTTGTATGTCAACAAAGCTCTCTTCTTTGATTTCAGCTTTTTGAAAGTTCTTCCACAAAATTCTCTCTCCTTATTATAGATAAAAGATATTAAACAAGGACAATAAGCATTGATAACCTAAGGTGACATACAGCCATATCCAGCATGGTCTCTGCTTCCCATGGGTTTAGGTCTAAGTCTTGGATGATCCTGGAACTTCAGACATTGATCACAGAGTGCTAGTTGGCACAGGTGGCACTGGGCCAAGTCTTCCTGGTCCCTCCATTTTCACAGAGTTCTGAGCAGTGAGTGGTATTTTTTCAGGATCACCTTGGGTGAGTGGAGTGTGGAACGTGGGAGCTTTGCTCGTCCCATTAGGATGACAGCAGTGGAGTTAAGTCTGTGCAGAATGTGGGGGAGAAAGGTGTTGTAGGTGACTCCGAGACCAGCAGGACTGAAGGCATTTGGACCAAACTGGGGACACTGGAGCTCAGGGTTGAGAGAAAGTGGGTACCTGTGTCCACAGCGTTTCCCCCCAGAAAGAGAAAGTGAAGGGTGAGTGGGAACCCAGCAGGTGAGAGGAAGGAGATAGTAGGAAAGTAGTAAAAGTGAAGTGAAGTCGCTCCATTGTGTCCGATTTTCTGCGACCCTGTGGACTGTAGCCTACCAGGCTTCTCCATGGGATTTTCCACAGTACCGGAGTGGGTTGCCATTTCCTTCTCCAGGTGATCTTCCCGACCCAGGGATCAAACCAGGCCTCCCGCATTGCAGGCAGACGCTTTACCCTCTGAGCCACCAGGGAAGCCCAGGAAAGTAGTAGGGGTCACTAATTACAGTGTACCGCTTGCGTATTTTTCTGTCACCTTAAGAGACCCTCTCATGTGTTCCTTAAGGGAGGAGGGACGGACGCTTCTCTGTGGCCTGACCTCAGACCCTCGTGGTGCAACCCCGGGCTGCGTGGGCTGCCCCTCGACCTGCTCCTCGCTGGCTTCACCCCAAGGCGGGAGCCTGGGGCCCATGCCAGGTTTCCCGATGTGCTTGACGGAGTGTGGCGCGGATGCGGTGCAGGAAGTACGAGCGGCTTCCAGAGCTGGGCAGGACCAGGGCGCGCAGGGCAGCGCGCGTTCGGGGAGGCCCCGACGGATCTGGCCTCAGGCCGCCACGGGAACCCCCGCGCCCGGGTAGCCGGGCTAAGGCTGGTTCCTGGGCAGCCGAGAACTGCGCATCCCAGCAGAAGCTGGCTGGGACCCAGGCGGGCGGGGCCTCTAGAGGGGCGGGGCTGTTGACTGGAGGGCGGGGCCCGAGATGCAGTGGGCAGGGCCTTAGTGGGTGTGGCGGGGCGGAGGGCTTCCGCGGGCCGCGGCGAGGGCTCTGCCTTGTGCGTGGAGCCTCAGCTTCGGCTCCGGCCCGGGGAGGCGGCTTCGGCGGGGCAGGCGGGCTCCACCCCCCGGGCCGGCCGCGTGCTCGCGCCTCCCAATTCCCAGAACCAGGGTGGGGGCTCGAAGGGGTGGTGGCGGCTGCTCCGCTTCCAGCTGGGCGTCTGGGCGCGGGGCCAGGACGGGCGGAGAGCGGCGGCGGCGCAGGGCGGCGGATCGCGCGTAGGGCGGTGGCCTGGACCGGCCGAGCCATGGCGGCCCCGGAGCTGGTGCCGAGGCGGGGCCGGGAGCGGGAGCGGGAGGACGAGAGTGAGGACGAGAGCGATATTCTGGAAGAGAGCCCGTGCGGCCGCTGGCAGAAGCGGCGGGAGCAGGTGGGCACAGCAGGGCGGGGCGGATCGCCGCCCACCTCGGGCGGAGGGGTCCTGGGGCCACGCGGGGCCGTGCACACTCTGGGCGAGCCAGGAGGCCGAGAACCTGCCCGAAGCCTCGCGCAGACGGCCTCCTCGATGCGTGCTCGCACTCCTTTAGCCTGGCCCCCACCCTGGTGAGAAATCCCCTCTTCCTTGAGGGCCAGTCTCTCGAGATCACCTCCCCATGCCTCTGAGACCACCTGTTAGCCTCCTGGGAACCATCCTCAAAAAAACCCAAAGCATGCCCCAAATCTCCACAACCCAGCCCCAGGGATACCACGCCTCTGCTCCTGGGTCCCCAGCTTCTCCCTGGAGCGCCAGTGCCTGCCTCACACCCTCCGGCTGGTGGATAGGATGTGAGCAGGGACTGAGCCTCCCCCGACCACCTCACTCATGCCCCGCCACCCCCACCCCCAGGTGAATCAGGGAAACATGCCAGGGGTCCAGAGCACGTTCCTGGCCATGGACACTGAGGAGGGGGTGGAGGTGGTGTGGAACGAGTTGCACTTCGCTGACAGGAAGGCCTTCTTGGTCCACGAGGTAAGGCCCGCTGCCCGACCCCCCTCACCCCCCCATCATCCTGGTGACTGTACCCCCCTTTCCCAGGAGAAGATCCAGACCGTGTTTGAGCAGCTGGCGCTGGTAGACCACCCCAATATCGTCAAGCTGCACAAGTACTGGCTGGATGCCTCAGAGTCCCGAGCGCGGGTGAGCCCCTGGTTGGGCCATGGGGTGGTGGGGCACCAGTGGGCGGCGTGGGAGTGGGCACCCACTGTTGGTGGAGCCCGTGAGTTTGCCGCCTTGCAGGTCATCTTCATCACAGAGTACGTGTCGTCAGGCAGCCTCAAGCAATTCCTCAAAAAGACCAAGAAGAACCACAAGGCCATGAATGCCAGGGTATGCAAGTGGGCTGGCATGGGTCAGGGCCAGGCTGGGGTCCGGGTGCTGTTGGGGACAGAGATGGTGAGGGGCACAGGGCAGGGCTGGGACAGGTGGCCCAGGCCCAGCTGCCTTTCGGAGCCCACCTCATGGAGTCCGTCCACCGCCAGGCCTGGAAGCGCTGGTGCACACAGATCCTGTCTGCACTCAGGTGAGGGCCTGGGCTTGTCCTAACACCTGCCTGCGATCTCCCCCGCACACCCCGCCTCCTGGCACCCCTGACCCAGCTCCACCGGCTCTCTCCTCCAGCTTCCTGCACGCCTGCAGCCCCCCCATCATCCACGGGAACCTGACCAGCGACACCATCTTCATCCAGCACAACGGCCTCATCAAGATTGGCTCCGGTGCTGGCGGGGTGGAGGGGGCAGCGGGGAGGAGGGGTCGGTGGGGAGGCACAGGGGAGGCCGGGCTGGGCGGGACCTGTTGGGAACACAGGGCCGACGATGCTGCGCACCCCATCACGTTGACGCCTGCACTTTCTCCCCGTGGGGACCGGCTCAGTGTGGCACCGGATCTTCTCCAACGGTGCGTGGGGACTCTGGGGGATGGGGGGCCGTGGAGAGGCCCGGTCTGCTCACCCCCTGCTCTCCCGTAGCACTCCCCGATGATCTTCGAAGTCCCATCCGTGTTGAGCGGGAGGAACCTCGGAACCTGCACTTCTTCCCGCCAGAGTATGGAGGTGAATCCAGGAGGCCCCCACCCTGCCCCCCGCATCCGCCTTACCCATCCTGACCTGCTCTCCTCTTTCAGAGGTTGCTGATGGCACTGCTGTGGACATCTTCTCCTTTGGGATGTGTGCACTAGAGGTACTAACCCAGTGTAGCCTGGGGCCCTCCTCCCAGCTAGCTCCCCCAACCCCACCCATCCCTTCCCCCTGCCTGACCTTGCCCTGCCCCCCAGATGGCTGTCCTGGAGATCCAAGCCAATGGGGACACCCGGGTCACAGAGGAGGCCATCACTCGTGCCAGGCACTCGCTGAGTGACCCCAACATGCGGGTAAGCAACACGCCCTGCCCCTGTGAGTTGGCTGTCAGTGTTCCAGGCTGGGCAGTGAGGAGCCTCAGGCAGGCCTGCAGATGGCACAGGTCAGAGCCAGGCCCTCTGCACCAGCCCTTCCCTTGCAAAGAGGGCCTTACTGGGCGTGTTGCAGGGCAGACCTTATGGCATGAGGGCACATCCTGAGCACAAAGAGATGCTTTAAGTGTGGGTGCAGTGTTTATGCCAGTTTTATAAAGAAACAGGTTCGGAGAGCCTTTAACGTGAATGGTGGAGCCAGTGTGCATCTAGGTCTGCCCGACTCCACAGCCCTGCCTGTGAGCTTTCAGGAGACAGGCTGAGAGGATGCCAGGGGGCAAGGTGGGTGGGAGCAGAGGGCATATGCTTGGAAGCTGCAGCCACAACCTCTGTGGCCAGACTTCAGCGACTACCTGGCTTAACCCACAGCCTCTGGGAGTGGTGGGGCCTGGGTGGGACTGAGACAGATGTGGGGCCAGAATGGACCCAGAGGCAGTGAGGGCCTGCATGTGGGGCAAGGGAGGCACCCCTCAAGGCCATCTGCAGAGCTGGGCCTGGCCTGCAGCACCAAAAGTAGGGCAGGCAGGTGGGCTCAGGCTGGGCCTCTCTGACCTCGGGCCCAGGCTGATCTGCCAGTGCTCTTCCCAGTCCCGGGCTCCAAGGCAGGGGCTGGTGTCCGTCCTCAGCGTGCAGCCTTCATCTGTCACTTGGGGATGACTGTGCCAGCCCCCACAGAAACTGGGGTGGGGGTGCCTACTGGAAGGAATGCACAGGCAGCTCCGGGCCCTGGGAAGAGTCCACTGTCCTGTTTGAAGAACCAGGTCCTGGCCTGGCGGCTAACAGGATGCCTCTCCCTGTGCTGGAAGCTGCATGAAGGCTCCCAGGGGCTTGGGGCAAGAGCAGAGAGGCTGCACCCACTTCCACCCCCTGTCCACAGGAGTTCATCCTCTCCTGCCTGGCCCGGGACCCTGCCCGCCGGCCCTCTGCCCACAGCCTCCTCTTCCACCGCGTGCTGTTCGAGGTGCACTCACTGAAGCTTTTGGCTGCCCACTGCTTCATCCAGCACCAGTGTGAGGGGCAGGTCGGCCTGGGGGTGGGCCAGGGCCTGTGGTCGGGCTGAGGAAGGAGGCCTGGCAGGACCCCATGCTTCAGGGCCCGCCGCCTGTGTGCTCCCGCGGCCCACAGACCTCATGCCTGAGAATGTGGTGGAGGAAAAGACCAAGGCGATGGACCCACACGCGGTCCTGGCGGAGATTCCTCGCCTCCCCCGGCCCCCGCTACAGTGGCGGTGAGTGACCTGCAGCCCAGAGGCCTCCCTGCTCCCCACCAGCCAGCCATGCCCCACTGGCCGGGCCAGCCATCCTCACATTCTTCTTACACCCACGCCAGGTACTCAGAAGTCTCCTGCTTAGAGCTCGACAAGTTCCTGGAGGACGTCAGGTGAGGGCTGGAGTGAGCCTGGGGAGGGACAACTGTCGGGCCTGAGCCCCCAGCTGGCACCAGCCTGCGCCGTGTCCCTAGGAATGGGATCTACCCGCTGATGAACTTCACTGCTGCCCGGCCCCTGGGGCTGCCTCGTGTGCTGGCCCCGCCCCCCGAGGAAGCCCCGAAGGCCAAGACCCCAACACCAGAGCCTTTTGACTCAGAGACCAGAAAGGTAAGCCTCCACCCCTGCTGCACAGGCCTGCCCACTGCCCAGACGGGCTCTCTTACCAGGGGCTTCAAGTCTTCCGGGCCAGCTCTCTTCTAGGCTGCCAGAGGCCAAGTCCTGACTGATCACTCTGTGGAGCCTGGGGGCAGTAGTACAAGCTGAGATACACCCCTCTCCCAGAGGCTCCGCAGGGAAAGGCTCCTGCAGACCCTTGCCCCACACACGCCACCGCTCTGACCCCCCTCCTTGGCTTGCGGATTCCCTGACATCTGTGCCCTGGTGTCTCCTCCAGGGTCCTCAGGTCCTGGGATTCCCCTGGCCCCTCCTCCTGCAAGGCTCCCCCCTGGCCAGGGGCCTCCTGGGCAGCCTCAGCCCCTCTCCCTCTCCACGTCCATACCCACTGGTCTCCAGAGGCTGTGGCTCTGGCCTTGGGTGTGTCTCTATGGTTACTGCCCTGATCTAGGCTTCCTCTGTTCCCCACCGGGATGCTACACCAGCCCCTTTTCTGATCGCCTGCCACTGGCTTCCCTCCACAGTGCAGCTAGAATTCTTGTTGTGGGTGGGGGCACAGTCGTGCGTTCTCAGCCCCCACTCTGAGGCCTGGTCTTGCTGGCATTCTGGGCTCCGCTGTCCTGTTCCTGAGGACCTCGCTCTTCCTTCCCTTCCAGAGCTTGTCCAGGTGTCCTCTCCACCTGTGAAAACATCCTAAAGCATCTTCCAGCTTCAGCATCTACCCCTCTCAAAGTTTCCTTAACTCAGCAGGCTCCTAGCAGTGAGATGTGCTTTCTAGTTTGCCCTTAGAGATTTTTCCCACCTCTGGTTTTTACCAGATGCTGCCCGGCCCCTTTGAGGCAGCATTTACCCTTGCTGCCAGAGGTTGAGGTCCAGCCTTTGAGTAACCTTGGCCTGCATCTCCCCCGCAGGTGATCCAGATGCAGTGTAACCTGGAGAGGAGCGAGGACCAGGCGCGCTGGCACGTGAGCTTGGGGTGGGGGTGGGGGGCTGCTGCCGGCAGAGACACCGGGTGTGGGAGAAGAGGGACGGGGCCGACCCCGAGCCCACCACACCCTCCTGCCTCCGCCTCCTCAGCTCACTCTGCTCCTGGTGCTGGAGGACCGGCTGCATCGGCAGCTCACCTATGACCTGCTCCCAAGTAGGCCAGGGGGCGGAGGTGGCCCCCGGGTGGGGGTGGGAGCGGGTGGGTAGCACTGCGGGTCTCACACTCCCGCCTCCCCTGCCGCAGCCGACAGTGCCCAAGACCTGGCCGCTGAGCTGGTGCACTATGGCTTCGTCCACGAGGTGAGGTGTGCGGGCCAGGTGCGGCCAGCCTGGGAGGGCGGCAGGGTGGGCCGCGCCCCTCCGTCCCCCATGCCTCCCTCCCGTCCTGCAGGATGATCGGCTGAAGCTGGCTGCCTTCCTGGACAGCACCTTCCTCAAGTACCGTGGAGCTCAGCCGTGACCTTGATCCGCGCACCTCAGGGCCCCAAGCCCCCTGGAAGCCAACCTCCTGGCTCCCTGGGGAAGCTTGGCACTGGCCCCTGCAGTTGGGTGGGGAACCAGGGTCTCTGTCTGCCCTTGTGCCTGCTAGTGAGAACCTCCCCTCGCATAGCTCCCTGCAGCCCTGGGGTGGGGCTGAGGGTGGCGGGGTCGGGCCCACCGGGGTGGGCTGGGGGGACAGGTTAGCTGGTGCATGTCCTTAGGAGCAGGATGCCCCGTGCAGCCAGCTTCCACAATTTCCTGGCCGTGTGGTCATGAAGGGGCTGCCCCACAGGGAACCACGCATAGTGCTGGGGGCTGAGGCGTGGGGGTCAGCCCTGGACAGCTGTGCGCCCAGGGAAACACTCCATTGCAAGTTGGTGCCACTGACCCACACGAGGAACCACCACCTTAAACTGATGGTAAAGCACCTGCAGCTGTCGGGCACCACGCTAGGCAAGGGGCGGGGCCATGACCTGGAAGCTCCTGTGGCTCTTGTCCCCGCCCCCCCATCCAGGGCAGACCCACTTCCAAGCCCCTCTCTGGCTCCTGCAACCCCCACAAAGGGCTGTTCTCTGTCCGAGTTCCCTGGCCAGAGTGGTCCGTGTGGGATGCCCTCCCTGCTCCTCCCCAGCTCCCCCCAACTCGTGCTACCTCCCTGGGTCCTGGGGATATCAGTGCCCCTTCCATTTGCGAATGTAGTTAATCACTCTTGAACATTTAAAACCGCATGTATAAATTTAGCACATTCAGGTTTCTAAGTGTTTGAGATGTCAAACAAGAAAAGCCTACCACTGTATTAGTTCTCTGTTGTTGCTGTAGGTCTTTACCACAAACTCAGTGGCTTAAACCAACACATTAGTTCTGGGGTCAGAAATCTGGTGCAGATCCCATCAGACTAACATCAAGGTGTTGTCACTCCTTTCTGGAGGTTCTTGGGGAGAAACTATTTCCTACTCCTTCAGGTTGTTGGCCTGCAGGTGTCAGGAGCACATGGGGCATTGGGCAGGAATTCAGTTCCTTGCAGCGGTGGGCCCAAGGTTCCCATTCCCATGACTGCTTAAACTGAAGGCCATTCTCAGCTTCTGGAGGCTGCCAGATCCCTTGGCTCATGGCCTCCTCCTCCATCTTCAAAGCCAGAAACATCGCATTGAATCTTTCTCCTGAACTGTGTGTCTGGTTTTCTGCAGCCAGGAAAGCTTCATGTGGTTAGGTTGGGTCCACCTGGATAATCCAGGATAATCTCCCATCTCATGGTCCTTAATCTTAATCATATGTGCAAAATACTTTTCACCAAGTAAAGTAATATTCCCAGGTTCTGGCGGTTAGGACACGGACATCTTTGTCATCCCACCTGCCACATCACCCCAACCAAAACCCCAAACCAACACCCCTTACCAAGACATGTCAGATACATTCCATTTTAAATGTTCCAGTACTCTACAAAATTATTCAAGTTCTTACATCTTTTCAGTTTAAAGTTACGCTTTAAAATAACTTACACATCTACTTGGAAATCCTGATGCCAAGCTGTCTGATTCTGCATCATCTGAAACAGTTGGGAGTGTCCAATGCATAACAGATTGTGCCAGAGATTAAATTGAACTCAAAAGGATCAGTACTAGCACTGCTTCATTTAATGTCTGTTGAGGTTTTCATTTTAATTTTTATCTCTTCAAGGTGACAAACGTATTATTTTAAAAATGGAATTTTTTAGGCCAATAATAAATAACTAATAAATACAATGCCTAACTCTGATCCTTTGCAAATTCAACTCTCTTAGCTGTTTCTTCAGGCATTTAATATGCATGTTTCACAAGGACATGCACACATGCTTTCACTGCTTTTCATCGGTTTTTCTACATTATGTGTCACCTGCTGGTGTCCTCTGGGGGAAGGGAGGCCACTGGCCTCCCACTGTGTCCATTGACACAGTGCCATCTCAATGTGATGGGCACACTATTACAGCTTCACTCCCACAGGTCTCGGCAGAGAACGAGGTGTCCTAGGAAAATATTTGCTTTCTTGCACAACCTTTTGTTTTCCCTGCAGTTAATCATTGCCTTTTGGGGGGCTTAGTTTTCCACACATGTCATTAATTCCTCCCTAGATTCTCCTGCAGAAGTGTGAACCTCCTCTCAAACTTCGGATTTGTTGCATAACTGCTATTTCCATCTTTTCCTGGACCTCTCACCCTGCCAACTGCCCTGGCTGTCAGCATGGGCTGCGACTTCACGAGCATCCTGGAGCACCTCCTTTCTCTCCGCTGGAGCCCATGATTTCCTCTTCCTTGATTCAGCTACAGAGTCTGCAGTTTGCCCTCACTACTCTCACATCTGCTTGTTCGTGTAACTAGGTACAAAGTTGGGCTTCTAGTCCCAAGAATTCCCATGCTTTTCTGAGTTCTGACCTTTGCGATGTCTTCTCTCTCGATCTTTTCTTTACCTGAATGCTTTGGAAATTACCAACGATGTGTCCTGATGTTGTTGTTCAGTCACTCAGTCGTGTCCAACTCTTTGTGACTCCATGGACTGCAGCACACCAGGCCTTCCTGTCCATCACCATCTCCCAGAGTTTGCTCAAACTCATGCCCATTGAGTCACTGATGCCATCTAATCATCTCATCCTCTGTCATCCCCTTCTCCTCCTGCCTTCAATCTTTCCCCACATCAGGGTCTTTTCAAATGAGTCGGTTCTTTGCATCAGGTGGCCAAAGTATTGGATCTTCAGCTTCAGCATCAGTCCCTCCAATGAATATTCAGGACTGATTTCCTTTAGGATTGACTGGTTTGATCTCCTTGCTGCCCAAGGGACTCAGTCTTCAGCACCACAGTTCAAAGGCATCAGTTCTTTGGCGCTCAGCCCTTTTCATTTTCCAGCTCTCAGATCAGTACATGACTACTGGAAGAACCATAGCTTTGACTGTCTGGACCTTTGCAGGCAAAGTAATGTCTGTGCTTTTTAATACACTGTCTAGGTTTGTCATTGCTTTTCTTCCAAGGAGCAAGCGTCTTTTAATTTCATGGCTGCAGTCACCATCCAGTCCAGAGTGATTGTGGAGCCCAAGAAAATAAAGTCTGTCACTGTTTCCATTGTTTCCCCATCTATTTACCATGAAGTGATGGAACCGGATGCCATGATCTTAGTTTTTTGAATGCTGAGTTTTAAGCCAGCTTTTTCACTCTCCTCTTTCACCTTCAATCAAGAGGCTCTTTAATTCTTCTTTGCTTTCTGACACAAGCATGGTGCCATCTGCATATCTGAGGTCCTGATGTGGACCTTCTCTCTCTTTTCTTCCATTTTTTTTTTTTTGAAGTATAGCAGTTTATAATGTTGTGTTAATTATGCCTTTACAGCAAAGTGATTTTTTTTTCTGTATTCTCTTCCACTATGGTTTATCACTGGATATTGAATATGTTGACAGTTCCCAGTCGCAGTGCACCCCTCTGTTACAGAGGCCTCTGAGGCACCAGCTGATGAGCGTCACAGTACTCCATTGTTTGTTTTCTAGATAAATGGTTTTATTGTTATACATTTTGGAAGATTTCAACTTTATCTTGCAACTTCTCTGTTTAACTGTTCTTTTTCCTCTTGTATTTTTCATTTGTAACTGCTCTTTCTCACTGGCTGAATGTTTTTCTTTACAGCATCTTGTTCATGTTTTTTGATGCAACATCCTATATCTCTGAGGATATAGTTTTAGCTTTTCTTTTTTCCTTCGTCTCTGGCCTGCTTTATTGGCTCTGTTCCTTCTGAGTCCCTTTTCCTTTTCCAGTTTTCCTCTCCCTCAGGTGTCTGGTGTTCCTGGGTTGCCCAGTCACATTGAATCTTAGTGGTTGGGGCTTATTGCCTTGTGAGCTTTGAGGTCAAGGATGGAGCCAGGTCATTCTCCTGCCCACCTCCCAGTGGCCAGTCTTCTGTGTGTGTGTGAGTGTTGGGAGCTCTTGCAGAGATGGGCTCTTCTCTTTGAGGATTGTTGAGTGGCACATGATTGGGGAGCCAGGGGTGGAGGTGGCAGAAAGGCAGGAATCTCATGTATTCCGCCACTTTCAGAACAGGCAGGCCCTCCAAGTGTGCCTCTGCTGGAACTCACCTCTCAGTCGCTGCCAGTAGGGACGGAGTTCTTGTCTCCTCCTTGTCATGACTGCACTCACATGAACCATCTCTTGAACCCCGACCTCCAGGATGCTAAAGCAGCCCCTGCTGTCCACCTTCCTCCAGCTCCACAACATTCCACCTCTTTGTCTTTGGGGGTTTCTTCCTTTATAAATTGGGGTGGCACAACCTCCCCAGATGGCGCTAGAGGTAAAGAATCCGCCAGCCAATGCAGAAGACACGAGATAAGAGTTCGATCCCTGGGTTGGGAAGATCCCCTGGAGTAGGAAATGGCAACCCACTCCAGTATTCTTTTTTTTTAAGTTCATTAAAGTTTTTTTATTTTATTTTTTATTTTTTCCTGACCGGAGTGCTCAGCTGGGCAAAGCCAGGGCCTGGGCCCCGGCAGGCTGGGGTCCATGCCTGGGGAGCCCTGCCACTCCAGTATTCTTGCCTGGAGAATCCCATGGACACAGGAGCCTGGTGGACTATGGTCCATAGGGTCGCAGAGTTAGACACGACTGAACGAAGCACTCTTTCTTATCATTTTAGAGGAAAGGTAAATGAGTAAAATATTGTTGTGTTTAAACAAGAGTATCTGTATTTCATATTAACTCTCCCAGGGTCTCCTGCCTCTTTGGGGAAGACACTTTGCTACCTCAGGCAGGCTAAAGCTGCTAAGCTGACAACCTCAGGGCTTCACTGAGCTTCACTGAGGGTCTTGGGACTGGATGTGGCATGCAATAAACGTCCAGGGCAGCTCAACGCCAGGGATGGACATCTGGAACTTTATAGTTCAGAACTAAGGGGACTGAGTGCATACCCTTCCCATGGGATTGGTTCGGAAGCCTGTCTCTCGGGTTGCAGTTCTACAGACTGTGAGGTCGGTGGCTCTAGGACGCTATCAGTTTAAAAATGCACTACTGTTTTCTGAATCATTCGGAAAGAGAAAATGCGACCATAACAGGGCACACACCACGCAATGGTAGGCGCATTCAGAGATACGATGCAAAGAAGCATCTCCAAATCTGAGTCCGAAAAAAGGCGATTCTGGAGCTCTAGAGAGGATCCGGTCGTCTGTGCCCGGCCTCGGGTTTTCCTGCAAAGGAGACAGAAAAACCGAACAGCGAAGGGAAGGCGGCCGCGAGAGGAGAGGGGAGGGGCGACCTGAGACGCTAACTGGCCGGCGGAGGGCGGTGCTGGCGGCGCGCGGAGGCGGGGCGGCCGCGCGCGCGCCCCGCCCCGCCCCCGCCCCTTCCGCGCGCCCTTCCCGGAGCGTTAACTGTTCCTCCCCGCACCGGAAGCGCGTTCCTTTTTCCTTCCACGTCGCTGGGGAAAGGGCCTTTAATCGCGAGAGTTCCGTTCTCTTGAGAGCGCCTCCGCCGGCGCCTAGATCGCGCGAGACCGCGGAAGAAACCGAAGCGTGTGGCGCGCGCGGCGGCCGCGACGGGAACAAGATGGCGACGGCGACCATAGCGCTAGTAAGTGAGACCCCGGTGACCGCGGGCCGCCGCTCAGACCGCGGGAGCAGATAGTTGGCCCGGCCAGGGTGCCGAGGGTCCCTCTGGGACGTGGCGGCCGCTCCGGAGCCCAGTGCTAGCTTCTGCGGCTTTCGGTCGCGCGAGGCGGGGGCGGGGCGGGCGCGAGGGGAGAGGGGCCGGCCTGCGGCCGCAGTTTCCGGCCCGCAGACTGCAACTTCCGGCAGCCGGCGCGGGAGGACCTGGCGCGGCTGTGACCCCGGGTGCGGCTGGTTTTGACGGGAATTGGACCCGGGGAGGTGGGGGGGTTGGCGACCGTGCCGTGTGCCGAGCCGGGTCTCCGCGGTGCGGTCGGGCGGGGCCAGACTGTAGTCGTTCCCCTCTGCCGACGTTGTGAGCCTGTATCCCCGACTTGAAGGCGGAGCACCGTGGAACCGTGGCGTCTCCCCCTCCAGCGTAGAGGGGCGGCAGGGTGTGCGGGGGTCTGTAGGAGGGGATCGGGCCTGGTGAGGAGGGAGGCCTTCGCTTCTTGAATACACAGCTGTGAATCTGCTCTGTGCTGATGCCCAGCGGAGAAGAGGTCTCCAGCCAACTGGGATTCTGTCCTACTCAGGAAGGGAAGACGAGGTTTCTCGTTACACGTATCCTGAGCGGTCACATTGTTCCGAGTGCTATGCGAGGGCTTGGGGAAACAGTAGGGAACGAGAGACAGTCTTGCCCTGTTCCGCCGTCTGCTGGGCACTGGAGACCAGTTTCCACTCAGGGTGCCTGAAGTGTTAGGGCTCTGCCTTGCTTAGTGCTCAGCCACATGGAGCGCTAAGTACAGATGGACAGCCTGTCCTCACACAGCACTTCCTTGGGGAAGTCTCCCTTCACTTTTCCTCCTCCCAGACTTGTGCCACTGAGTCCCCTCAGGGACCCTCACAGCGAACTTCATCCCTTTATTTACCCACTCCTCCGCAACTCAGTATGAGGTGCTGGGGTTTGTTCGAGAGGTATGTGGCGGGAGGTTGGACTGATGGGGGAGATTCGAGGGTCAGCGGGTGTGCTTAGACTGGCCCCCTCAGGCTCTCATAGTCACAGGGGGGCGAACCTGTCTCACTGGGACAGAAAATGACGCCCAGGGAGAGAGCGGCCCCAGGCTATGAGAGGGGCCTGGTGTGGGAGTCTC